AGCTGGTGTTTGGGCGCAGAGCTGGTGTTGGGGCACAGAGCTGGTGTTGGGTACAGAGCTGGTGTTGGGGCGCAGAACTGGTGTTTGGGACATGGGCATTTGCTTATCTTTTCAGGGTCCATGTCTGGTGCTGGGACCCAAGAGGTTCCCTTAGCCCAGGAACAAAGTAGGCCTGAAGTGACATTGCCACCCAGGTGTGAGCATGAGCATCACAGTTCAGAGGCCGAGGCCCGGCGTCCCTGGCACACCATGCCCTGTGTCGCGGGGTCTCGCTTTCCTGTGCAGAGGCAGCCACAGAGCCCCTCCCCAGCACCCAAGTCCATCCTCCTGATGACATCCGCTCCCCAACACCAACCCCTCCAGGAAGCCCAGGTGGCACCCCACCTCCCCCCAAAATGGCACGCCCCACTCATTCTGCCGCGCTCTCCTGCGTCTCTCCTGGCCGGCTGAGCCCCTCTTGGGACACCTGCTCCCTGACCCGGGGCCCCTTCCCTTCTCTAACTTCTCTGGTGATTGATGCTTCTCTTTCCTAATGGCGGGCTTCTGTCCCTGCCCTCCCGGGGACCTCGCCGCACGCTGTGGGTGCCCTTCACCCACAGGCCACCTCCCCAGGGCCTCTTCCGTTCCTTAGGAGCACGGACTCTTCCACCTGCCCCTGCACTCAGGGCACTCGGCCCTGCGTGCAGTGGGGTGCGAGGAGTCTCCCTGGCCGCGTCTCCTTCCCAGGTCAGCTCTGCTTGTCACAGGTGACACCTGCCCTGGTGGCCTTCCCCTCAGCAGGTGCTGCTGGGTCTTTGTCCTCTGATTGATGGGAGGGAGGAGAGTTGTCCCAGGGGTGTCCTTGTGCAGAGTGTTGCCCACAAGCCTCTGTGGGGCTCATGGAGGAGTGACCAAGTGCAAGGTTCCTGGTGGAGTATTCTGGGAGCTCTTGCTGGCAGGTGGGGGCCTCCTTGGAGAGCTGTGTGCAAGGCTGCAGCTGCCTGGGTCTGGCTTCTCTGAGCTTGCTGCACTGTGGCCTGTTGGATTCTTAGTGCTGCTTTGAGTTCCCCACGTCCAGAGGTGACACAATGACTCAGGGAAGAATGGAGTTCCAGCCTCGCACTGCAGGGCCGCGGCTGGAAGAGCTCCTACACCTCCTGTCTTCATTCATTCCTCCCTGTTCTTCCCCTGTCCCTCCACCCAGAGAGAACCCCAGACCTTTCCTCCATTGCGCGCCTCCTCACTGCATCTGTGGCCGGCTGTTCCTGCCTCGGCCCTCCCTGGCTTGAGGGTCTCTGCTTCCCTCCCTGGCCCTCGGATATCTCTTGTTTATGGGCTGCTGGGATTTTTCCAATAACCTGAGATGAATCTACCAGGCCCCACAGGTAGTGCACCTCCGCCTCCCAGCCATAAACCACGCCGGGCTTTCATCTGCGATTGCCTGGGTCCGAGGCAGGTGGGAGGCACAGCAGCGGGGGAGAGGCAGCCTGAGCCGTTCCAGACCCTCTTTTTACAAGAAAGGCCCCGAGAAGCACGTCTGGACTTGGTGCCAAGCCAGTTCACTTCACTCTGCTGGGCTGTGCATGGAGACTGGCTCTCTGGCCTCCCCTCCAGGAGTCAGATTTATGCTGGGCCTGTCTAAACGGCCTCCGGGGATGCTGACATTTGTTGTGGGAGAGCTCGAGTGGTGTTCCTTTCATCTCCACTGAGGGGTGTCGGCTTAAATTATGAGGCCCGGCCACAGCCCCATCTGGGTGTGGGAGTCTCTGGCAGCCGCTCCTCTGCTGTTTGAACGTTTCCTTCATCTTCCGCTCGCAGCACTCCCACGGCTCTGAGAGCTTCCCTTTCTCTTTGACAAGTTCAAAGCCTGCAGTCCAGGTCCTACCTGTGCTCCCAGGAGAAATGGGAACCCGAGTCCAGCAGGTCTGCACTGCTGAAAGAGCAGGGCACTCCGACCGTCCCAGGAGCAGAGCGGAGGATGTCACATGCCCCTCATGTTTACACACGGTGCCTGAAGCTGGTGAGGGTCAGCAATGGCCAGCTGACCCTGGCCAGCTGGGTGTGGCATCTGCCTGCGTGTGGGAGGTGCCACGTGCCCCTCCACCCCTCCGTCCTCAGACTCTCTCACCCAGACCTGCCAGGACACCCGAGAGTCCCTGGGTGGTGGGGCGGGCAGAGGCACGTCCTGCCCAGTGAATGTGTGCTGTTGACCGGGAGCAACCTCAGACGGTGCCAGGAGGACTCCGAGGGTCAGCCCAGGGGAGGGGTCTCAGGTGTAAGCTGTGAGGGAGAGCAGCTTGGAGAGGTCCAGGGCAGGGGTCAGCAACCACAGCGTGCAGCCACATCTGGCCTGGTGCCAGGTCCTGCCTGCCACAGGGGACTCCTGGCAAAGGCTCCCTTTCTCCTCTCCTGGGCAGCCCCGTCCATCTGTGAGGCCCTCGCTTTCGCACAGTGAACAGAGCCCAGCCTTCAAGCTGCTGAGGCTGCCCTCTGTGTCAGGCAAAGCCGGTGAGACTCACTCTCGGGTATGCTAGGGAGAGTCTGGAGACCCCCTCGGGGGCTGAGGAAAGAAGGCGTGAGAGGCCGAAGGGCAGAGGGGTCCGGAGAGACTCCAGGGCAGGCTCTCCTCGGCAGGCCCGGCCCCTCCCCTCCTCTCTTCCCTCTCCGCCTCCTCCCTCTGGACACAGCGGCTTCCTGACCCCCTACAGGGTGTGGAGGGGGTGGGGCACACCTGGCTGGGCCCCTGACGTCTTCCAGGGCTGACCTCGGAGGCCCTTCTTTTGCCCCCTTCCCTGTTGGTTCATGGAGGAGAACAGCTCTCTGGAAATAGGCATGTGCCCTAGGCAAGGTGAGCACAGTGACCGAGAGCCCCAGGGGACCGCAGCCATCCTGTCCCTGGACCAACTTCAGAACTCACCCCTCCTTCTGCAGCCAGCACCCAGGGGAGGGGTCTCAGTGTGTACGCCGTGATGTCCCCATCAGGGACACTGCACAAAGCCCACTCGCTGTGGGCTGGGGTCAGTTCTGCAGAGAGAAATGCCAGAGTCCAGCACCAGAGCTCAGCCCTCCCCTGGACACGAGGCTGCTGGCACCTGAAAACAGGCATCTAGGGCTGAGGACACGTCCTTTGTGTTGAAGTAGTTATGGCGATTTTCATGTTCCAGGCAGCCCAGGCCTTCCCATGCAGTCCTCATTTAATTTCAACAATAGTTACAATTCTCTCTCTGTCTCTCTCGCTCTCTCGCTCTCTGTCTCTCTCTTTCTAACAGGAATTTAGCTCGGGGTGCGTAACCACATCCACAGCCCTTTTTATTGTTTTTTGTTTGTTTTGAGACCGGGTCTCGCTAAGTTGCTTAGAGCCTCACTAAGTTGCCGAGGCTGGTTTCAAACCTGTGGTCCTCCGGCCTCAGCCTCCTGGCGGGCTGGGCGTGCAGGCGAGTGCACCATGCTAGGCCACAGTTACTCTTCCTGATGAGAAAACTGGATCTTGGAAAAGTGTTCACAGCCCTGCAGACTCATCCTTGAGCTGCCTGACCCTGGCAGGACTCCACAGGACACATGCGTGGGTGGGATGTCAGCCTGTTTCTGCAGAAATGCCACTGGAGGTTCCCTGGGGCCAGGGGGCCTCCCTGGACACAGGGTCAGGTGGTCTGAGCAGTGGACTGACCAGGCCTGCAGGGTGAACCTCTCATCCTCCGGGAGGGTCTCTTCCCTTCCTGAGGCGTTCAGTTCCTAGGGTCAGTCTCCCCCTTCCAGGAGGACCCGAAGCCCCTCTCCCAGCGTGGCTGAGACCAGCTGCATTGTCCCCAGGAAGGCACACAGAGGAGGACCCTGGCTGGGACCCTTTTTGACCTTTCAGTGTCTCTTATTTGTATTCTTGAGGAAGGGAGGCCCAGGAAAAAGACAGCACCTATTAAGCACCACCTGTTTGGCAGGATCCCAGCTGCTTGCACACAGGACTCCGAGGACACCCACTGGGTGGGCATTATTGCACGTGAGGAAGTGGCGGGGAGGTGACAACTGGCATGGGGCTGTGCCTGCATTAGGTGCCCCTTCAGCCCAGGGGACTCGGCTGAGTGCCCTTCGTGCCCAAGCTGTGGTTTACATGTTTGCAGGAGGACAGGGCCTCTGAGCTTCAGATGAGAAGGCCCTGGTGGAGCCAAACTGGGAGCTCGGAGCTGGCCAGGCGATAGGAGCGGCTCGGTGGCAGCTGAAGAGGTCAGGGACCAGGCTCACGTGGCTGGGCCCTCTGGGGGCTTCCTTGAAGGGCCAGAGGGACTGGCGCAGAGCAAACCCAGGGCAGAGGTCCTCCCTAGAGCCAAGAGGACCCGGGAGATCTGGGGGGCCATCCTTAGGATGAGTGGACACAAGTCCCTGTACAGGAAGCCTTCCTCACACGGCTCTGCAGGGCCTGGCGCAGCTTCCCAAGAGGTAGCCTGGGTCCTAGGTCTTGACCCCTTTAAAGTCACCCCTGTCCTGCCTGCTGCCTACGGAATGGATGCCGTTCACATGGTCTGCAGTTACTCTGTGAAGGGTTATCTATGCTATGGACAGCAGTTTTGATGGCCTCAGCCTGCAGGTGGTCCATCCAGTGCTGGTCCTCGATGGCCTTTGGAGCAGAGTTCTTCACGGTGTCTGGGAAGCTCGGAGCACTCGTGTTGAGCTGAGGCCTGGGGGGTCCTCCTGATGACAAGCACCCACTGCTGACTTGCAGGCCGAGCAGCATGCTGGTGCCTGAGCAACAGCCGCTACCTCTTGCTCCGGGGAGGCCAATGAGCAGGCTCTCCTGCCGAGGAGGCAGCACGCTGGACCAGCCAGGGCGGAGCACTATGGCGACGACCCAGTGTAGCCTGGACCTCCTGATTCCTGCCCTGGGTTCGAAGTGCTCTCCTTAGCTCTTCCTGGGAGCTTTTGGGTCCTTGCCGCGGGCTGCTGCATGCAGCAGCAGGGTTGTCCTGACGGGGTGTGCACCCTGCTGTAGGAACCTCTGAACTCCCTGCAGCGTCTTCTCCTTCTTTCAGGCAAAAGCGACGAGGAGGAGAGCCTTTGCAAGTCTGCCCCGGGGGCAGGGAAGGGAGCCTCTGAGGACGGCAAGGACCACAAGCGCCCCAAACGCCCCAGAACCATCCTGACCACCCAGCAAAGGAGAGCGTTCAAGGCCTCGTTCGAAGTCTCCTCCAAGCCCTGCAGGAAGGTACAGGAGGGCAGAGGGGAGGGCAGGGGACAGCACTGCTTCTCTGGGTGCCAGGCTCCTCTGGAGGTTGGCACACGGGGTCCCAGTGGTGGGGAAGAGGGGTCAGTCTGTGCAGGAGCTGAGCTCTGCTGGGGACTCTGGGCAGGGATCCCAGGCCTCCATGTGTGGTGCCCGTCCACACTCAGAAGCCTTCGTTTTGGTGTAGGCTAAGACGCTGTGACAAGGAATGTGGGATGCGGTGGCCTGTTTGTTCCGTGCAGTGTGCCAGGGACCCCTTCGAGCTACAGGCTTTCCTTTGGTGGAGATGGACCCTGGCTTTGAAAGCCCCCTCCGAGCTGTAGGGGCCGTGCCCAGGGGGCTGCAGTGAACCTGGTATAAAGAAACTCGGGCCTTAGTGATAGAGGGGTGTGTTCTCCCTACACCACAGTCCCAAGGAGAGCAGGCCGAGGCTGACGGCAGCTGCGCTGTCCATCACACGGGGCCCAAGGGCTGTCCAGCTGTCACTCTGTTTCCCACCACCAGGGAGGGGAGGGGGCCGTGCAGCCAGGCGCCGGTTCCCGGGTTTGCTCGGCCACTCCCTAGGTGAGGGGGCGAAGCTCAGTCCTGCAGGAGAGGACCCGGTGCCCTGTTGTGCTCAGGACTCACTGTGGGAGGGAGGAGGTGGGTCTGGGACAGTGACCTGGCGCTGCCACGACGACTGTGGCCGTCACTGAGCGTTCATGGTTGACCAGCTGCCTGCCATGTGTGGGCACTGTCTTTGACACAGTGAAAGGAGAGTGATCGTTGTGAAATCTGTGAAGGAAATACCGTTTTTAAGAGGTCAGCATTGCTTCTTCTCCTTCCTATTGGAATTCCTCAGCCTTTGCTGTAGCGAGCAGGTAGCCCGGAGTCGGAGTCACCCCACAGACATTCACTGCCTGTTCTGGGCTCGGGCTGCGGCCCCCCAGGGTCCAGGTGTGGGCGGCTCCGCCTGCTCTTGTGTGGTCCTGGCTGAAGAAGCAGTGCCCTCCTGGGACGTGTTCTCCTGAAGGTGGCCGAAGGCAAGAGGCCAGGCCAGAGGAGCCAGGGAAGTCTTTGCTGGATGTCACCCTGATTCACAGGCCAGTCGAGGCTGGGGCTTAGCCCACGGGGCAGGGGCTGAGGGTCACAACTGGTGGAACACAGCGCCCTCTGTCACCAGGTGCCCTTCCTTCCCCGCCCTCACAGAGTTGCACTCCGCGGGGCACTGTAGGAAGCGGCTTCCGGAGGCGGCTTGCTCAGGACAGGTTGTCCTCCCCTGAGGGCTTCCCAGCCTCCGTGAGGCCACGTGCTGGAGGCTGGTTCCTGGGCACCTTTCAGACCAACAGCGAGGAGTGGCGTCCATCAGGATGTAGCTCCAGGGTGTGGGCTGGAGGACAAAGGAGCCCTGGGCCATGGGAGGGGCGTCCACTCTGGAATCAGGCAAGGCCCTGGGAACAGGTGGCTTCCGAGCCGGGCCTCTGAGCAGTGGATAGGGTTTCAGCAGGTGCAGGGCCCCGCTTAGCAGGAGGGTGGATGGGCCTTGAAAGTCCTGATCCTCCCCATGTGAGCTCAGCCCAGTGGCATGATTAGGGTGAGCACTTCCAGGCCCGGGGCTCGCTCTCTGCGTGTTGTTCAGGGCGTTTTCCAATCCCATCTTCTCCCGAGACTCCCAGGAGGGGCCATGTCTCTCTGGCCTCTCTGCAAATCTACTTTATGGGCTGCCCCTCTCCCGCTCTCCTGCCAGCCTCATTGTGAGCCTGGATGGCCGACAGATGTTTAAACACCTTCTTTATTATCTGGACCCCTCATCCTGGTCCCTACCTGGCCCCAGTGCATGTGTCCGCTGGCCCTGCTGGGTTCCAGGTGGCCCCGATTTTCTGTCTCTTTCTGGGAAGGGCTCCCTCAGGGTAACAGTGCAGAACCCCCAGAGTCTCTGAGTTAGAGGGACAAAGGTCCATGGATTTAGGTGGGAGGAGGGAGGGTGGACAGCCCTGGGAAAGCGGTCTTCACCCTGTTCCTCCACCAGTGGCCTGCAGCTGCAGCATCCGGCACTTTCTAGGGCTGACTCCAGAGCGGGGGACGCCTGCAGCTCTCCTGGGAGCGTGGGTCTGAGTTCACGAGTGGGTGGGGTCGGCCACCGTCCCATCACTGCGACCAGGTCCCCGACAGAACAGTTAAAGGAGAGGCGGCTTATTTTGCCTCATCCAGGGTCCCCCAGCTCCGCTGCTGTGACGCAGCGCATCGTGGTGGGAGTGTGGCGAGGAGGCCACCGACCTCCTGGCAGCTGGGGAACAGAGAGGGCTGGAGCAAGAGGCCGGTGGCAAGATAGAGTCCCCAAGGGCAGACCCACTTCTCCCCCTCCAGCGGTCCATTCAGTCACCAGGACTGATCCTCCGACGAGGCTGGAGCCCTTGTGATCCTGCCAGTCCTCAGAGCCCACCTCTGGTCATGCTGCCCGGGGACAGGCCTTCAGCACCGGCCTTTGGGGTCTGTTTGCCTGGACTCCTTTCCACCTGGAGGGAAGCCTGTCTGGCCGCTGACTTTGGCTGAGCATGAATCAGGCCCTGGGCTCTGCACAGAGCGGCCTGTTGGCCTCCCCAGGGCTGCACAGGAAGTGCTCTGCCTCCTTCCCGCCCTGCACTGCCGCGGGCGCTACAGGAGTAACCGTCGCTTGTTCCAGGTGAGGGAGACTCTGGCCGCGGAGACGGGGCTGAGCGTCCGAGTGGTGCAGGTGTGGTTCCAGAACCAGAGGGCTAAGGTAAGGCTCCTTGCCTCCTCCGTGTCGCCCTTCCTGCCGCGGGAGCAGAGGGCTGTGCCCTGGCCACCAGTTCCTGCCCGAGCTCCTGGAGAGCAGCTCTCTCCAGCAGCAATCCTGCTGCCGCGGGGCTTCAGCCAGGCGCCAGGGAAGGCCCACTGAGGCATCTGTTTGGGGGAATGTCCTGGTGGCCCTGCCTCTGAATCCGGCCAGCCACCATCAGGTCCTTGGAAAACCATATTCTTTAATTTACATTTTTCAATGTATACCTGCGCACTACAGATACCAGGGGATCTTTGTTTGTTTCGTTTCATTTCATTTTTGATATTTCAAAGAGAAACCCAAAAGCACTCTGACGACTGGCCCAAGACCGCCTGTTGGCGTGGTGGCGTGAGAGCCCTCCCTCCCCTTCAGCTCAGCCCACCCTGCCACCCTGCCCTCCTGCCCTCCTGGCTGGCCAGGGCCTGCCACCCTGTCGTGGGCCCTCTTGGAACTTCTGCCCCTGCCTTTTCCTACCCCTGCAAGTGCCCGTGTCCCGCCTCCCTGGTCTGCCGAGGGGTTGCATCGCTGCGTTTGCTCCGGGTGGGCCAGGGGACCGTTCCTGCAGCCGAATTCCCCAGAGTGGGGCTGGGGGTGGGTGAGTCATCTGAAGAGGCTCCCTTCCCCACGGAGGCATAAAGCAGAGAAGCACTCAGACCTCCGGGAACCTTGCAGTAAAGACATTTGTTTTAAAATGCAGTGTTTCTCTCTCTCTCTCTCTCTCTCTCTCACACACACACACACACACACACACACACACACACCATGTGTTTACATACTACAGGGCACCAATGTTCCACAGGACACAGTTTGGGAAACGTGGGGCTCAAGGGTCTTAGCCGAGGCTCTGGTGGCTCTCACACTCAAGGTGGCCGTGGGGAGGAAGAGTGTCCCGGCTCACCCAAGCCACCTGCGGTCAGCCCTTGCTGAGAGGGAGCCCCTGTTCCTGTGGGGTGAGCGTGCTCCCCAGCAGCTGGGAGGGGTCTTGGGGTGCTCGTCCTCAGCCTGGCTTCATATGGGGTAGGTGCCTCCTCCACGTGCCAGCCTCTCAGCGGAGGGCGGAGGCCTTCCCTGCCCCTGGTCAGTGGCCTGTCGTGGCCGACTCTGATGGGCCGTCTCTCCCACCAGATGAAGAAGCTGGCCCGGCGGCAGCAGCAGCAGCAGCAGGACCAGCAGAACACGCAGCGGCTGAGTTCTGGTAAGCCCTGCGCCCCAGGCCGGCACCTGCCCAGCTCCATGAGTGACGGGCACTCAGTGGAGCCCAGCCCCCCACTCGAGAGAGAAGCCCGCCACATGGGGGTGAGCCAGGGGAGCCCGTGAGAGCACGTGGGCCCCAGCAGCACTTCCAGAGCTCTGGCTCGTGCAGAGCCTGGTCTGGACCGGGCAGGGTTAGGGCACACGTCAGAACGTCTGTGGAGCCAGGGGCGGGTCCTGTTTCTCATGTCCAGTCCCCCTCCTCCTAGGACGGCCAGTTTGGTAGAAGACCCTGTCATCCCTGTGCAGTTACCTGAGACCACTGACTTAGCACAGGAGAGATGGTCTGGCTTGGGGTGCCACGTTGGGCCTGTTGCCTTGGGGTCCGTGGGGAGTGTGTGGCACAGGAACTGCCTGCCCCGTGGGGACCAGAAAGCAGAGTCAGGCGAGGGGGCTGGAAGGACAGAGAGGGAGCTTCCGGGCACGTGCCAGGGACCCGCTTCCTCCCACTGGTCCCCGAAGCCGCCCCGTCCCCCACAGTGCCACAGGCTCAGAACCAAGCCTCTAGCATCGGCCTCTGGAGGAGACCCATTTCCAAACCAGAGCCACCCCTTCAAAATAGTGTAAAACAATGACAATACATAAACCCCAAGGTGAGCCGAAGTTACAGTCCCCCTCGCAGAGGACGAAGGCTCCGCCAGTCTCACCTCTGACGTCGGTGAGGGTCGGACCCAGTTTGGGAGTCGTCTTTGACTACGCTCTGTTGGACTGGGCTTTCTTTCTTTTTTTTCGACATCATATATATTTTATTTATTTTTTTAAATTTTTTTTTATTATCAGTTGTTCAAAGCATTACAAGGCTCTTGACATATCATATTTCATACACTGGATTCAAGTGGGTTATGAACTCCCATTTTTACCCCGTATACAGATTGCAGAATCCCATCGGTCACACGTCCACGTTTTTACGCACTGCCACACTAGTGTCTGTTGTATTGTTGGGCTGGGCTTTCCACGCACCCCTCGCTGGATGTACCTTCTTCTTTTTTTTTTTTTAATAGGGGAGGAGTGCGGAGTTGGGAGGGGAGTGGACTTCTCGGACAGTCTGTGTTCAAGAAGTGCTAGGGAGAAAGCGTGTTAGACTCGCGTGTTAGAGCCATGTCATTCTTAAAGGACTCAGCACCCACCCGGGTTCCTTGAACGGCCTGGGCCTGGGCCTGGGTCTCACACGCAGTGTGCGCACAGGCCTTCTGCAACCTTGGTGAAGTTCAGGTTCTGATTTTTAAGGAAGGTCGTGTGGCCCCAAGAGCCTAGGTGTTTAACAAGCTCTCAGGCGGGGCCACTGCTGCAGGCCCATGGGCCGCTTCTTGAAGGCTGTGCCACCAGACGTTGGTCCTCGTCCTGGCTTAGACCCTGAGCTTGCTTGACGTCTGGGCTAGGCTTGATCCATAACTTGGCCCTTGCAGCCAAGAGTCCCCTAAGTCTCACTTAACAACGAGAGATGCTGACAGAGGGATGAGCTGAGCTGGATGGGCTGCTGGGAAGTGGGCAGCGAGCTGGTCAGGAGCTAGAGCTGCTTCGGCTTCTCCTTGATGCCAGGGGACCTGGGACCAGCTGTTCCATCCCCTCACACCTTGGGCTGTGCATCCTCAGGTGGGGAAATGGCCCCTGCCAGTTCTGCCTCCCAGGGCCCTGCGATATTCGGAGGGCCTGGGGTGATGTTAGCTGATCCCATCTAGAAGGTACTGGCGGGGCCTTACGAGAACACAGACTCCAATCCTTGGCTTTAGGGAGCTCCCCGGAGGCTCCTGGGGAGACTCAGGAAGCAGACACTGGGAGGCGGAGGAGGCGAGACCCTGGGCACCAGCAGCACACTGGCTCTAGAGCACGCAGTGTCCTGGAGTCCTCCCGTCAGCCGGTGAGGTCTGCTGGTCAGATGTCATGATTCCCACTGGACTGGGGGCTCCTGATGGGTGATTGGTGGACCTTTATATTCATCCTCCAGGGCTGCCACACCTGAGTGTGGATCCGAGCCTTTGTTTAAATGCCATGTTTCCAGGGTGTGCTGGAAATTCAACTGCCCAGTCCCACTGCATCCCTGACCTCCAAGGTGAGGGCCTTTGGCTGGGCACAGGCTGAAGCCACTCATGTCAGCTCAGCTCCTTCCATCTTGTAAAGGTGGGATAAGGCCCAGGCATGAAGCTCTGCAGCCTCCATCACATCACTGGGGGGCAGCTCGAGGTGGCCTCTGTAATTCTCAGCACCTGGTGTCTGCACCCTTCGGTGGCCACTCCCACACTGTGTAGGTCTGACCTAGAGTGTGATTTCCAAATGTCCCGAGAGATGTGGTGGTGTCTGCCTGGGGCGTCCTGGATCACAGCATGGACATCTGGTGGTGAGGGGTGTGAGGTCCAGGTGGGGCTTGGGGCTGCAAATCGAGAATGATCTGCCACCTTCTCTGTTCCGCAGCTCAGACAAATGGTGGCGGGAGTGCTGGGATGGAAGGGATCATGAACCCCTACACGGCTCTGCCCACCCCGCAGCAGCTGCTGGCCATCGAGCAGAGCGTCTACAGCTCCGACCCCTTCCGACAGGGCCTCACCCCACCCCAGATGCCTGGAGATCACATGCACCCTTATGGTAAGAGGACTTGAGCCCACGGGTTCCCACCTGCCGTGGCCCCTCCTTCCCTCCCAGATGCTCACTGTGGCTTCCCCGCATGACAAGTGACCCGCAAAGCAGGGCTAGAGTCACCCCAGGGTCAGCTACTGGTGGCTGCAGGGGGAAGGCTCCTGTGTGCTCACCAGTGAGGTTCGTCTCAGAGTTCCCAGGCTTCCTCCCTGGGCATCCCTCATGTCCCCTCCAGCTCTCTCTGTGAGCCAGTGCTCGGAGGTGAGGCCCGGGGGCCCCCGAGGAGGGTGAGCCCAGGGCTGCAAGGCTAACAGCTCAACCTCAGGTTGACTGTGGGCCACTCACAGAGTCTCGGAGGAGTGCAATGCATTGATCTGTAGATGGAATCACTGTGCCTCTCACTCTGATAGCTAAAAGATACTTTTATTCAGCAAGCCTTCAAAAAGAAGTATCAAAGACAAAATCCTCACGAAGATTTTGTCCACCTTTCTCCCTCGCTTAAAAACATTCACGGCCAGGTGTGGTGACACACGCCTGTAATCCCAGCAGCTCAGGAAGCTGAGGCCAGCCTCAGCAACTTAGTGAGGCCCTCAGCAACTTAGTGAGGCCCTCAGCAACTTAGTGAGGCCCTGTCTTAAAATGAAAAATAAAAGACTCGGGATGTGGCTCAGTGGTCAAGCGCCCCTGGCCTCAATCCCCAGCCCCCCACCCCTCCAAATGAGTTCTCTTGTTAAAACCGCGCCACCTGCACACACCTCACACTCAGCAAGCCTTCACCAGGCTGGACCTCGCAGGGTCTCTCTGGCTGACCTCATCCATGCACAGATCTGTGCACACAACGCATATCCCTGACGTCCTGTGGACACACGAGCACCTCCCTGGTGTCCATTCTTCAGATGGCACAGTCCAGCGGGCCTCTTTACTAGGCCTTGCTAAGCAGCCAGAGGGGGTTTGTGTCACCTTCTTCCTCTCAGAGTCTCCGAAGGCCCCTGGTGACCTCACAAGGTTGCACTGTTTGCCCCTGGTTACTTCAGGCACAGGTGAAGGCCACCTTGCCTCCCCTCTGGCTGCTGCTTCCCTCGGCTGTCCCAGGAGGAGCCCTCCTGGCTTCTGTGTTGGGGGTGCACCACCCTCCCGTCCTGCGCCACGCAGCTTGGGAAACAGAAGGCACTCGGCCTGCGTGTTCTGTTGGAGAGGGCAGTGGTCATCCTGGACGCTCCCGTCAGACTCTCGAGAGCCACTTCTGAGGCCAAGTCTACAGGGTCCCTGGCCCAGCCTCTGCAGGCCCCTGGCCCAGCCTCTGCAGGCCCCTGG